TTTTTTTATGGTCTTTGTTAGTCTTTTTCTAGTTTTGTCGTTCTTATAAAGCACCTTGTGGGCTTATCTTGAGAGATGCTATATACAAATATTTTTTCTTCTGCCTAGTGGTTTGCAAGCACATTACAGCGGTACTTGGAAACCGTTAATATTTCATTTCCCAGATGATGGCTATCAGTGATTCGACAGCATTTGCTGAACCTTACTTAAAAATAAAAACAAAAACAAAACATTGGACTGTGATCTGTATTGCTTAATTAATTCACAAATGAATAAACCCACAGCTTTTATAAGTGATAATGGCAATAAAAATAAAAAAGCTGAAAAAATACATGAAAAAAATGGTTCACCAGCAGTGCTAAGTTGTGTCATCAGAAATAAAGGGAATGTGGTTAATTTTCATGCTGAACGGTCCTTTTTCTTGGTGTGCTATGACTCAATCATGGCAACGTTTAAGTTACAAAAGATAACCGGTTTATTACAATCTAGTACATGTTAATACAAGCATCGGTACACCGGTGGGGAACCATGCAGCCCAAAAGTGGTTCTGTCTTTCCAGCATCTGTCCACTGCTTATACCTCTACAACAGCATCCCTAAAAACTCTGGTACAGGAACATTCCTAAGCCTGCTTAGAATAGCAAAATGCTATTGTAGGAGAATGGAGTCTCCACAGAGCCGCCTTGTAATTTATGACTTCTTGACAACAGTCCCAGCTGTCTCTCCACAGCCTTTAAGGTGGGATTTCTTCTTAGGGGCTCCAAATGAATAAAGATAGGACATTCTTTTTAAGCTGCAGTTATTACAACATTGTATGTTATTATTTTATATACAGATAAATTGTTTAAAACAGACACCACCAGTATCTAACAGCTCTGAATTGCAGTGAAGAAGAAGAAAATATCATTTCTATAGCGCCTCTCATGATAAAAATCACGAGGCGCTTCACAAAAACAAAAAAATGTAAAAATATACAAAAAGATTTAGAAAATAATTAAAAATATATTTAAAATAAACAAAAGTAGGCAATTGTGATTGAAAAAAATGTTAAGAAAGAGAGAAAGTGAACAGGAAAGAGGGAAATCAGTGGATCCTGAGGAAGGTGGAATAGGTGGGGAGAGCAGAATAAAGAGAGAGAGGTGAAGAAGGTCATACAAAAGCCAGCTTGAACAAGTGAGTCTTCAGCTGCTTTTTAAAGGAGACCACTGAGTCAACTGATCTCAGGCTCAGGGGGAGAGAGTTCCAGAGTCTGGGGGCCACAGCAGCAGATGATCTGTCACCTTTGACCTTTAGCCTGGTGCTGCACAACCTGTAGGCTTTGATCACTGGACCTCAGGGACCTGCTGGGGGTGTAGGGACTAAGAAGATCACCAATGTAAGATGGTGCTTGTCCATGTAAGGCCCTATAGACCAGAACCAGGATCTTGAAATGAACCCTGAAGTTGACTGGCAGCCAGTGAAGCTGGAGGAGAAGCGGGGTGATGTGGGTGTGTTCGGAGGACTTGGTCAGAAGCCGAGCACAGGCGTTCTGAACCACCTGTAGACGGTCCAGGGAGGTTCTGCTCAGACACGTGAAAAGAGAGTTCCAGTAGTCTAAGCGTGAGGAGATGAAGGTGTGGAGAACTGTCTCAAGTTCAGAGCGGGACAGAATGGGACTCAACTTAGCAACGTTCCTGAGATGGAAGAAGGAAGAGCCAACAAGAGAACTGACATGAGAATCCAGGGTGAGAGCTGGGTCAAAGGTCACACCAAGATTCCTGACAGAAGGTTTAGTGTGAGAAGCAAGCTGACCAAGAGAGTCTCGGACTTTGGGAACCAGCTTGTCTGGGGCACAGATGAGGATCTCAGTCTTATCTTCATTCAGCTGAAGAAAGCTCCCAGCATCCATGTTTTGATAGTCTAAGCAGGTGTGTAACAGCTGCAGCTTAGACATCTCATGGGGCTTAAAGGAGATGTACAGTTGGATGTCATCTGCATAAAGATGGTAGGAGATTCCTTTGAAGGAGCTCAGGATGTGCTGAAGAGGAAGCAGATAGAGGAGGAAGAGCAGAGCCCCCAGCACAGAACCTTGTGGGACACCATGGGTAAGGGAGGTGGTGGAGGACCTAAACTTGGAGACGGCCACAGAAAAGGAGCGCTCAGAGAGATAAGAGGAGAACCACTCCAGAGCAGAGCCTGATAGGCCTACCCAGTCTCTGAGCCTCTCCAGTAGCAGGTGATGGTCAACAGTGTCAAAGGCTGCAGTCAGGTCCAGCAGGACCAGAACAGAACAGTCCCCTGCATCACTGTGAGTCAGAAGGTCATTAGAGACCCTAAGAAGAGCTGTTTCAGTAGAATGAGCTCTACGAAAACCTGACTGGAAGCTATTGTAGATGTTATGTTCATCAAGAGCAGCTGTGAGTTGTTTAGCCACAACCTTTTCCAAGATCTTGGAGATGAACGGAAGTTTAGAGATGGGTCTGAAGCTGCTATGGAGAGAGAGGTCGAGACTCGGTTTTTTAAGAAGCGGGTGGATTACAGCGTTCTTAAAGTAAGCAGGGACCTGACCAGAGACCAGAGAAGCATTAATTATAGAGAGCATGCTGGGACCGATGGACTGAAAAGCACTTTTAAACAAGGATGAGGGTAAGATGTGGAGGGGGCATGCAGAGGTCTTCATAGAGTTAACTAGTTTGGTTAACTCAGGCAAAGAAACAGGAGCAAAGCTATCTAGGATGATGGGCCTGGTTGGAGTCGGGAGAGGCAGCGATAAGGCTGAAGGAGAGATGCTAGATCTAACCTTATTGACTTTGTCCACAAAGAAAGACAGAAAGTTCTCACAGTCTGTAACAGAGTGGATGGAGGCTGTAGGAGAGGCAGCAGAGACGATGCTGCTGATGATGTTAAACAGCACCTTGGGGTTCCCTTTGCTCTGGGACACCAGGTTGGAGAAATAGGAAACCCTGGCGTCTCTGACTGCAGAATTAAAGGATGTCAGAAGATCCTTTAGGTGCAGCAGATGGACGTGGAGATGGGCTTTCTTCCACAAACGCTCAACTTTTCTGCATTGGCACTTCAGGCTGCGAAGGCTGTCATTAAACCAGGGAGTAGGGTTCACTGCAGGAACTGATCTGGTTCTGACAGGACAGATGTTGTCCAGAATGGAGAGGCAGTGCTCGTTAAACTGAGAAGTTAAGGAATCTGGGTCGTTATCAGAAGAACAGGGTGGATCAAAAGCAGCAGAAAAATTGCTAGCTGTGCTCTCATTAAGAAAACGAGAACTAACCAGATGGCGAGCAGGAGGTGGGGGCGCAGAAAATGACAAGTTAAAGAAGATGCAATGGTGATCTGAAATATAAATGTCCTCATGACAAACACTGTCAGCATTTAGACTCGGGTAAAAACAAGGTCCAGAGTGTGCCCCCTGGTGTGTGTGGGGCCAGAAACATGCTGGGTAAAGCCGATGGTGTCCATAAGGCTGGAGAAATTCATGGCAAAGTGATCAGAGGGATCATCAACGTGGATGTTAAAGTCACCAACAATCACCAGTCTGGACAGCTTCACAGTGGAGGATAGAAAGTCACTAAACTCCTGAAGGAAAGAACTGATTGGACCAGGTGGACGATAGACCACAGCACAGTAGAACGGGTCCTTACGCCCAACTTTAATCAGCTGCAGTTCAAAGATAGCAAAGTGACCAGAGGTTGGAGAGCTATATGGAAGATGGTCTCTGAAAACAACAGCTAGGCCTCCACCACGACCAGAACCCCGGGGCTGGCTAAGAAAAGAATAACCACTCGGGCAGAGTTCAGTCAGACCAGAATAATCAGATGCTTGCTGCTAAACTTCAGTCAGAAACAGAAAATCCAGGTTTTTAGAGAGAATTAGATCATTGAGCAGGAAGGACTTATTGTTAACAGAGCGGGTATTTAATAGAGCCATGCTGAGTGAGATGGAGGAATCAGAAACTACAGAAACAGCTGGAGTTAGTGGACGTAAATTAGCAGGGTTAGATCCACGGTGTTTATAAAAACCACTTATGGAGGGAACCGCAGGAGAAACCAGAGGAATGAGGATAAACCGACCTTAAAAAACTTGGACGGATGAACCGCGCCGCAACGCGGCCTGGCGGGAATGCGGAAGTGGCGCTCAAGTCACCAAACAAAGGAAGAGAAGCTAGAAGATCACGCCGATGTTTACTAGATAAACCACGCTTTAAGAGAAGTCTTATTCTCACCTGGATTCCTGCTCGTTTACCTCTTTTCCTCTGACGTTTTCCCGAGACCGGACAAACACGCTGGAGGCGCGCAGGTCGGGACCCTCGTTTGGCTCCAGGCCAGTGCGCCACTCAGATAAACAAACAGGGAGGTACGTCCCCGGTGCATCTTGGGCGATCGTGAACGAACGGAAGGACAAAAGATTCTGGCGATCATAGGAGATGGTAGCAGGGACACTACTGAAGAGGATCGCAGACAGGAGCAAGGTGGAAAAGAGGAGGTTAGTGGAGAAAAGTTTGAAAAAGTGGCCAGTGACTGCGGCTAAGGCAAGCACAGGCACCATCTTGTTGCCGACAGTGGGTTATGTACTACAACCATCATGGGCTCGTTGTCTTGTCTGTTTCTTAAATACAGGAGGGTATAACAGTTTTTTCTTGATCTTTAAGTAATGTTTTTTTGTATTCAGAATTCATGAATGAACATCTCAAATGTTTGGTTAAGATCTGAGTTTAAAAAACAAAGGAGATTTGAAAAAGAAAATCAAAAGAAGAGGTGGCTCAAGGGCCGAGTACGGACTTGATCAACGACAGTAGAGCAGAGGTACAAGACTAATATTAAGGTTGTAAAAAAACTAAATAGTAATTTTGGAAGTACAGTTAAATAAATCCCTCGAGTCTTGTGTGGATGCTCGTATGTCTCTTTAAATGTGTCTTTCGGCTAAATCTTTGTCCACAGAGCTTACAGGCAAAAGGTTTCTCTTCTGTGTGGACTTTCAAGTGTGTGTTTAAACTATTTTTGGGCTAAATCTTTATCTATAGAGCTCACAGGCAAAAGGCTTCTCTCCTGTGTGGATTTTCATGTGGTCGTTTAAATGATCTTTACGGCTAAATCTTTGACCACAGAGCTCACAGGCAAAAGGTTTCTCTCCTGTGTGGACTCTCATGTGTTTGTTTAAATTATTTTTATGGCTAAATCTTTGACCACAGAGCTCACAGGCAAAAGGCTTCTCTCCTGTGTGGACTTTCATGTGATCATTTAAATTTGCCTTTTGGGTACATCTGTATCCACAGAGCTCACAGGCAAAAGGTTTCTCTCTTGTATGGACTCTCATGTGGTCGTTTAAACTATGTTTTCGGCTAAATCTTTGTCCACAGAGCTCACAGGCAAAAGGTTTCTCTCCTGTGTGGACTCTCATGTGTTTGTTTAAATTATTTTTATGGCTGCATCTTTGTCCACAGAGCTCACAGGCAAAAGGTTTCTCTCCTGTGTGGACTTTCATGTGGTCGTTTAAATGATCTTTACGCCTAAATCTTTGACCACAGAGCTCACAGGCAAAAGGTTTCTCCCCTGTGTGGACTTTCATATGGACATTTAAACTATTTTTATGGCTAAATCTTTGACCACAAAGCTCACAAGCAAAAGGCTTCTCTCCTGTGTGGACTTTCATGTGATCGTTTAAATTATTTTTATGGCTAAATCTTTGTCCACAGAGCTCACAGGCAAAAGGTTTCTCTCCTGTGTGGACTTTCATGTGATCGTTTAAATTTGCCTTTTGGGTACATCTGTATCCACAGAGCTCACAGGCAAAAGGTTTGTCTCCTGTGTGGACTCTCATGTGTTTGTTTAAATTATTTTTATGGCTAAATCTTTTTCCACAGAGCTCACAGGCAAAAGGTTTCTCTCCTGTGTGGACTTTCATGTGGCCGTTTAAATGATCTTTACGGTTAAATCTTTGACCACAGAGCTCACAGGCAAAAGGTTTCTCTCCTGTGTGGACTCTCATGTGGACGTTTAAACTATTTTTGTGGCTAAATCTTTGACCACAGAGCTCACAAGCAAAAGGCTTCTCTCCTGTGTGGACTTTCATGTGATTGTTTAAATTTGCCTTTTGGGTACATCTGTATCCACAGAGCTCACAGGCAAAAGGCTTATCTCCTGTGTGGACTCTTATGTGTGTGTTTAAACTTTTTTTATGGCCAAATCTTTGTCCACAGAGGTCACACGCAATAGGCTTCTGCCCGGTGTGGCCTTTCATATGATGAGTTAAACTGGGCTTTTGGCTAAATCTTTTCCCACAGGCATCACAACTAAATGATTTCGGTTGTTTCTGGACTTTTCTGCATGAGCCTCCATGTTGCTTCTCTTTCACACATTTTGTAGTAACCGAACACTCTGAAGACTTTACTGCTGAATGACTTGTCACTCTCACATGTTTCTGAAGAGACCACTTGTGGAGGAACTGTATACCACACACAGGGCAGCTAAATGATTTGTTGACTGTCTTAATATCTGACTCCGAAGACTTGTTCTCATTACAGCCATGGTCTCTGTTTCCAGTTTCAGGTCCAGAGTATGAACGCTCAGAGTCTAGATTCAAATCATCTTCATCTTCTCCACCAACTTCAATCTCTGAAGAATCTGATGTATTTTCATTAGGGTCCAGATCTAGGTTCTTGCTAGTTTCTGCTCCTCCACCAACTTTTGCTGTCATCAGCCCAGCCAAGCTGCTGGTTGGGACACCTCCGTCTTTCATTTGATGGTTGTGGAAATGTAAGAGCAGAGGTTTCTCATCCATCTCCCCTCTATTCCTTGAATCTGCAGTAAACCAAGCAGAAATATATCAAATAAAAATATTTAGTAAAAAGAGAAGACAAAATACCTAGGGGTGTTTTTGCAATCAGTAATATAAATAACCAATGTTGGTAAACACATTACTATTTATAGTAATGCATTGCTTTTACAAATAACTATGAATCTAATGAGTTGCTTTTAAGTCCAGACATCACTATGTGATTGGTAGAAGGAAAAAAAACGCTATCTGCAAATTCTAATTAACGCCTCTCAGAGCCGGTCAAACCAGCCGTCCGTCGCTGCTACTGTGGAGCCTAGAGATACCCTGACAGCAGCATCGAGTCGGCCCCTCCCTTCCTTTCTCTAACACTGAAAGCGCGCAGCGGCAAAAATGTAAATAAACATATCTGCCGAACCTTTACTCCGTGAGAGTGCTGTAAAGTTTGTATCCTACAACAAAATCACGGCGCGGAGGAAGCTCATTAAAATGCGTCAAAACAGCAAATGTAATACGTGTTATAAGAAGAAACTGTGGGTGGACTGAGGTGAGATTGTAAGGCTCGCTGCAGAAATAAAAACACAGAGCATCAACACTCGTCTGTAACCCATAAAATAATAATGAGCATCATGCTGCTAGATCAGCATCTTGTGATGACAGTTAGTTCTGCTCACTAGGTCAGCTGACTTTAATCCACAAGATGGGACATTTGGCACTAGAATTCCTGATAAAGAGCTAAGAGCAAGGTCATTTAAACATTTGTAGGCCAGAACCAAAATCTTAAATTGAACACAGAACTGAACTGGGATCCAATGCAGAGAAGCAACAACTGGTGTGATATGATCATGTCCACAAGTGCCAGTCAAAAGACAGGCCGCAGCATTTTGAACTAGCTGCAGCCTAGCAATACATCCATGATCAACACCCAAGTAAAGACTATTGCAGTAGTCTAAACAAAATGCATTAAATGCATTAATAAGCTTCTCAAAACGATTCCTCATCAAAAAGGACATATAAAGATTCTTTAGGTGAAAAAAGCGTACTTGAACCACATTATTGACTTGAACATCAAATTTCAGCTAAGAATCAGTCTTAACACCCAAATTAGACACAACATCCTTTGCACCATATGAGACTGAGTAACTACAGGAGCACCACTTGGTGCAAACATAATCAACTTAGTTTTAGACTCATTAATCTGGAGAAAATTACAACCCATCGCTTTAAAACGACTTTCTCGAGAACCTTAGAAAGAAATAGCAGCGTAGAAATAGGTCGATGATATCGAGACATCAAGACCGGGTTTCTTAAGAAGGGGTTTGATTACAGATCTTTTCAGACTCTTTGGAACTTCCCCACACTGCAGACTAGAGTTGACTACATTATGAACCTTATTTGAAATAGCTGGCCAAACGTTCTTAACAATAGAGGATGGAATGATGTCGAGTGCAGAGCTGGATGGTTTCATCCTTCCAACAATTTCATCCAACATATCTGGAGATACAGAGTCAAAAGAATTCTAAGTAGTTGAATCAAAACAGATATCTTCATCAATAAAACTAAATTGCTGGGGAATTTGAGCTTGAATAGTTTCAGCTTTGCCTATAAATTATGTCAGAAACCTCTCAGCAGTAGTCGAAGAGGCTTTAAGTCCACCTGCACACGAAGGATTTAAAATCTCATCCACGGTAGAAAATAGTACTCTTAGGTTATGCTCATTAGAGCTAATAATATCAGATAAAAAAAGTGGATTTTGCTTTTTATACAGCCATTTGATAGGAACACCATGCAGACCTCATGTCTTCAAATGAGGGCTGTGACCTAGATTTCTTCCAGTTCTGCTCACATTTCCTGCATTAGGTGAAGATTCACTGTCATCCTGGACATGATCATCCTGAGCTTTACTATAAAAAACTGCTGGAAATTTCTAGTTATCTTGAAGACGTTCTACTTCTCATCCTAGAGGCTTCTTCACATTGGTTGTGAGTAGAAGGCTGTGAGTTAAGATCAGAAATAAACACACACAAATGGTCTTTCTTAATTTTCTCTTTTGAAAATGTTTTAGTCTGCATAAAGGTGATGTTATTGTTCATACTGTAGAATTAAAGTCCAAGTAGGACCTGTGGTTAGTTGGCTCATTTGAAAAATGTAATGTTTTTGACCTTGAAAGAATCAGGAATTGTTAGGAACGGGAATTGAAACAGGGGAATCGTTCAAATTCAAATGATGCCCAACCCAACTTTTTGCCTGAAGTGATTAACGTAACTGCAGTAAACATTGACAGATAAAAATAGATTGTGACCAAATTTTTTTAGACCCTGCTGGGGCCACTCAGCGACGCACCCATTGACAACCCAACTCTGGTAATTGGCAGCTCCATAGTCAGAAATGTGGCATTAGAGACTCCAGCAACCATAGTCAAATGTTTACCTGGGGCCAGAGCGGGCGTCATTAAATCCTACCTGAAACTGCTGGCTAAGGATATGCGTAAATACATCAACCCCAAAATTTATTTATGATTTATTATCATTAGTCCACATTAGGGCTGAAAAGATTCCTCGAGTACCTCGAATAATTCGAGTACAAAAAATCCTCGAGTCAAAATCTCTGCCTCGAAGCTTCGTTTAATTCATGTTTAATTAATTCATGGCTTTGCAATCGCCCGGGGTCATGTTTCACCCGGACCGAAATAAGTGACGCACATACACACTGCACTGAATGCACACGCGAGTAGTGAACGCAACTTAACTTTCTCTTAAGCCATGGGCGGACAATGTGGACCCCGGTGGAGTGCGAAAAAGACAGAAAATGTCAAAGGTGTGAGACCATTTTTCACGTCGTTAGGCGGAAAACGTACTCCAGTGTAAATACTGTAAAACGGATGTAGCCTACCACAACACCACATCCTCCATGCTGCAACCTGACCAGGAAACATCCACATGTAAATGCCTCTTCTGCAAGCGGACTCGGAGCTTCTACAAGATAATGCATTTAGCCTGTATTTCTATATATTCTGCAGACACTGTGCGACTTTTTTGTTTGTAGCACTCAGTTTCAGCTCACATCGTATGTCTGGTAGCAACACGTCAGACTTTTTACTGTGTTGTTATTGATGTCCGTTGTCCCTCAGGATTGCTGCAGGAGGACACAGGTATTTATGAGTGGGGGAGGAAAATGAAAGAAAGTAAATAAATGTTGTGTGATCAGTATAATTTGACATAACCACGGCAAACACGCTTTCGACAATCCTTGTTAGTGAGACAAAAAAAAGTGTAGAAATTAAAACTAACGTGTGTTAATAGGGAAATAGCTGGCGAGCCATGTTTGCGCATGCGCCGTGAGCGGTTCTGGTGCTGTTTGGGCCGCAGCCGCTCGCATTTGTTTACTGTGAGGTAAAGTTGAAGTGCCGAAGTTTTGAAAATTAATTTTGAATAAAACTTGAATAACTGGCAACTGCTTTCTCATTTCAAGAGGTCTTTCATATTTTATAACATGCTATTTGATACAATGGCTTAAAAACGCAAAAGAGTAATTTATTAAGAGTACTCGATTACAAAAATATTCGATAGCTGCAGCCCTAATTATCATTAACATTATTATTATTACATGACAACGTAACCTGTACCCACCTCGGCTGAAGACCCCCTGGACGCAACTACGACAGGACACAGCGAAGAAGAGACGCTGGAAAAGGAGAACTACTTCAATCACCTGCACCCAATCTCCAACCTGGTTTCATGGTCAACGGATCAGAAGGACTTTTTGGGGACAGGATCAGCTCCCTGACAGGTGGACAACCACCTCAACACGCCATGGATGGACCTAGACGTCTCCCTATTGAGAAGTTGAACTGTGCGCTTTCACGTCCCAAACTCCATTCTTGCATTCAAGACTTGGACTTCAAGAAACTCATCAACTTAAGACTGAAACCATCCTGATCAACGGATGAGAACTCGAACCGTTCCAGCCTATTCTTCAACCGGGATTCTCAGTCCACGGACAAGCCCTTTGTTGGAAAACACCTGGGGCCTCATTCATCAAGCTTGCTTACGCACACAACGGGGTCGGAAAACTGCGTAAGCAACTTTCCACGCAAACTTTGGGATCTATGAAAGAAAACTTAGTAGAAAAATGTGCGCAGCTTTAAGTTGACTAAGGACCTGGCTTACGCACATGTTGGACATGGAGAGCACCTGCAGTGCTGCTGCTGAGAAGATAAAATTATGAAATCTTGCAGCATTATCACTTGAACTGCTTCGTTTTCACTCAGAACAAGACCCCCCACATGCACGCATACACACACATCCGCGCACACTCACACACACGTTCGCGCACACATACACACACAGCCTGAAGCGCATAATACAGAATGCAGAATATCAGCAGGGGGACAGATTGAGACAAAATGTCATGCGTCTGTGACAGTGAGTGTCCTGTCGCTGTGACCCGATTGATCATGTGCCCTGGCTACTTGGCTAAGAGAGATTTCTGTTTGGCTGACTGGTTAGCACATGTGACTTTTACCCGGGAGTCTGGGGATTGAATCCCGATTGGACCATTTTTTTTTATATATGCCACAGATCTCTCTGAAGAACTCACAGTATTGACGGCTTCAGCAACGCTGTGCCACTCCGTGGCTTTTCTCTTATTTGTTTTGCAAAAGCACTTCCTTTCATTTCTCCACCTCACCCACAGGTACCTCAATTTCTGCTTGTGAAATAGCGCTTCCTTGATCTGCCTTGATCTACGGTCGCCATGTCATTGGTGGAGTGCTGCAACAGCCGGCTTATGTATATGCATGAGATCCCCAATGCACTTTGCATTGACTATTTACGGCAGTAAGTGGGCGTGGTGAGGGCGGGATGTGACTAAAGCCGGGCGTACACTGTGCGACTTTTTCACTTTTTTGAGCCGATTTTCCACTCGTGCGAGAATCCACGACATCGGGGCAAATTTTGCGCCGAGCGGTCGTGTAGTGTACGGGGGTTACGAGAGGCGATTAACACCACGTGACCAGCTGCCGATCAGCAGTCGTGAGGTCTCACGGACTTCTGGCGTGTTTAATATTTCGCTCGTCCCTCGTGAGGGTATCGCACTGTTGAAGCGGCGCTGCGAGCAGCTGCGACCCAAAAAGTATCGGAACTGCTCACGGCGCATGCGCAATCCTGCATCAACACCGCTCGCTCGCTATTTCCCTAATAACACACGCTGATCGTTTTTGTTTCTACACGTTTTTTACTCACAAAGATCGTCAAGAAAGCGTGTTTGTCATGTTCATGTCAAATTAAACTGATCACTAAACACAGATTTACTTTCTTTATTTCGTTTTCCTCATCCAACCCCCATAAATCCCTGTGTGTCCTCCTGCAGCACTCCCGAAGGACAACAGGCAAAACAAGACAAAAAAGTCTGACGTGTTGAGTAAAAACTGCTATTTTTAGCATATTTTTTGGGTCCGACGTGTTGCTACCAGACGTACAGTGTGAGCAGTCAGGTCGCATCCGAGAACTGGGTCGTACAGTGTGAGCACATGACTCGTGAGATCTGCTCTGCGAGGAAGTCGTACAGTTTGAGCTGAAGCTGAACGCTGCGAGTGAAAAAGTCGCACAGTGTACGCCCGGCTTAAAATGCAGCTGAGAACCTTTCTCATTAGTCTCCAATTTATGAAGTGGAGATTGTGTGCAGCTGTGCGTACTCCATGTTTGAGAGGTCACAAATCTACTTCGCATAAGTACA